CGTTATTCGGTCAGCGCTGTGACTTCGAACACGTATGCATTTAATAGTGTGATGTTTACACATTGGAGAGCTTTCAGACATGCGATTGAACCTCGAAAAACTTTAGCCTGAATTTCAACCGTCTCCTCTGACGCTTGCTCCCGAGAGAAACGTTTGAATCAAATAGACGCTTATGCCGTCTGGTGACGTCATGTCACTTTACAAATTCCCCGGGACAAATTCATGCAGAAATGGTGAGAAATATCGCCAGGACAAGGATTACAGGGTACGTAATTGTTTACTGACGTGAAATGTGGGAACGTACAGTCCACTGCATGCAATATTGTGGAAGGAACATTTCCGCTTATTATAGCTATTTCCATATTAAATTAATAAAGTTTACGGCTTCAAGCGTTTACAGGGCTCCAAGAACGAAATACTTTCAAATACACACTTGAACTCTTGCTTCAGTCGCTTTAATCTGAAAGAAGCCATTTGGTCCTTAACCAAGGATTCAAGCAAAGAAAAAAAATACTATTATAAGGTACGGGTCGCACTACAGCCAATTTTGTTTACATAAAAAATTTTGTAATTTTTGGCGAGGAAAAATTTGCAAAAAATTCGCTAGTGCCAAATTTTGGTGGTGGTCGCACTCAAACCAAGATGTGTTTTCCAAAACTCTCCTGATTGATGTAAATGTAAACTCCAGGCGTAGTCAATCGATAGAAATCGATATCGGAAATCAATCGATACACTCGATATCAATCGATATCAATCGCCGATTGCTATCGATTGATATCGGTAATCGATAACAATCGAACTCACAGAAAAAAAAATTTATCGATTGTTATCGATTGGCAAAAATCGATAACAATCGATAATAATCGATAGCAATCGATAAACATCGATAATCCAAAGGAGTATTTGTTTCAAACATATTACTGAAGATGGCGTGGCTATCTAGACATGTATCTAGTAAACACGTCCAGGCAGAGTGTTCATCGCGTTCACTTGGTTTTCTGGGATTTAAAAGATTTGAACATGTCCATTCATTCGAACCCTTGTTTTATGACGACGAAAAACACAGAAAACTGCTTCTTCTTTTGCATGTATTGTTCCTGGTCGATATTTATGGAACCAAAGTGATTACTGCTGTGCTACTGGATTATTTTTTATTTCTTGCTTACTCTGTGATTTATTCTTACGTTTCTTTTTTAATGCGACTAATTGAAATCACAAAAACACTGATTTTGTTGTTTATTCTGCATCATCTTTATGGCGTTGCTATAACGAGACTAGAGGGTTGCACGCCGCTACTTTGCACACCGCAACTTCTTCTTCCGGTATTATGAACTGCGCTGAAGATCGATAAAAAGACCAAATTGTTCCTGTTATTGTTTTTGTTCCTATAGTATTTTGTTGATAATTGTTAAACTATTGCATGCTATGATGATTGAATGACTCAATAAAACCATACAGACAACATTGTGTCAATGATTAACTTGTAAAATGACAAAAATCATTTCCGATAACAATCGATAATAATCGATAAATTAATCGTTATCGATTTCTATCGGAAATCGATATCAATCGAACTCACAACTTTTTTCTTTATCGATTTCTATCGATTGATATCGGAAATCGATATCAATCTTCGATTGTTATCGATTGTTATCGATTGATATCGATTATCGGTTTATCGATTGACTACGCCTGGGTAAACTTAAATGGCTTGGGACCAGGTTTCGTACTTCGCTTTCTTGGTTTTCGTCGTTTCTTGTAGACTTGCCACAAGTCGTCTTCTTTGAGCGAAACCGGGCGACGCGCGACAACGATCGAGGAACGTCGCGAGAGGAAACCAAAACCAACGAAAGGGAAAAATAATATTGGAAAGGGCTTTTAGAAAGTCTACGTTTCTTGCTGCTGGCTTCAATTGCAATCGAAGGAGATTGTTTTGAACTTGAGACGAATTGTTCTCCAAATCGCCGCCGGTAAATTTGGTTTCGATCAGACCCAGTGTAGTCATAGACATTCGCGGCGTAATATTGATGTTCATGTTCTTCGTTTTCCGGTCGAAATAATTATTAAAAGAGTCAGATGAACCAGGTAAAAATTATTTTGTCCCGTAATTGCACGCGCTAAACTAGCGAATCTTAATTATCAAAACATAGCATCTTGCGTGAATGACAGTTTAATGGCTAAAACGGGCTAAAATAACAAAATTGTGTGATTTTCAAAAATTTGGTCGCCTCCAGGGCAACACTTCGGCTTCTTTGAAGATTGGCGAAAATTTGGCAATTCGCAAAAAAATTGGCAAAAAATTGAAACTGGGGGTCGCACTGTATTTTACGATTTTTACGTTACGTGTTGACAGATTTGACACTTGAATAAACAAAATTGGTCAAAATTGGCTGTAGTGCGACCCGTACCGAATCATTATGCTTGACTGTGGACACGATAACAAGTTCGTAAATTAATTAATAGTGCGACACAAGCGTCGAGCTTGTTGACAAATGATCACTGAAATTCACTGCTGAAGCGACGAACAGCACTAACTAATATAAAACCTACCGACTTTCCAATATTAATTTTGTATTCGTAGATAAATTAAAAAAGGCATTGTTTCAAAGAAAAGAACTGAAAAAGTTCATTTTCCTGCCGTAGGATGTGTAGGATGTTGATCTCCGATCCATGCAAGACCATGCAAGCGTGTCCGTTGAATATCAAATGACAGTGAGGCCGAGGTATTATAAACCCAAACCGATGAAGTGTGCCGGATTTGTTACAGACCTGCAGGGCCGGGTTGTTCAAAGCACGATTAAGCTAATCCAGGATTAGAGTAAATTTTGATTTCATTTAATCAAGCTTTTAATTTCTCTTGTATATACGTGTTTTTCTCTGCCAATGTTTTGTAAATTTTGAGATTAGTCAAAGTCAAAACAGAAAGACAAAAAATATAAACAGAAAACCTCACTGAAAAGTTACAAAACTGAAATCAAAATTCGCACTAATCCTGGATTAGCTTAATCGTCCTTTGAACAACCCGGCCCTGGATCAGTAAATTATACTCCAGAAAATAAACATTGAACGGCAAACTGATCCTTATATTCCCGGGTATATTACGGCTGAGAAAAAGAACGAAAACAAGAAGAAGCAAATATAAATATGAAATATAATTTCATATTTGCTTCTTCATATCTCATATTTATATTTGCTTCTTCTTGTTTTCGTTCTTTTTCTCAGCCTAGCCTGCAATGCAGGCGGTTTGTGGTCTTGCGATCGAGTGTTTAGCCGCCATCTTGGATTCACAAAACGTGGAGAGTTAGGGCAAGTCGGGGAAGGGGACGGTGTAGGGGGTTCACAGCGACAGGGCTGAATAACGTCTGCGCATGTGCGGGATTTCATGACAGCAATCGACAGCAATGACAGCAATAGCAATTTTTTTAGCGCGAACGTGTTGTTGTGTGGTTTTGAAATACGACGGCAAGGAGAGATAAATGTCTTTTATTTCCCCTCCAAAACGGGAATATTTCCTTTTCCTACTTTCGCAAATAATAATTTGAACACTTCAAAGTTTACATCGAAGATTTTTCGCCATGAAATGCCGTGGAATAAGAGAAAACTTGAGTATATCATTACTGCTTCGTTTCTGCATTTTCGCGGACTCTGACATCGTGGCCCTTCGTGGCTATTTTTCAGCGAGTGTTCAGAAAAAAACCCTGGTGTTTCAAAAGATATGTTTTCACTCAGTAACAGGCGGATCCATTGCAAGATTTTGAAGCTTAACTTTACAGGCAAACTCTTATCCTAGGCGAAAACCTTTGCAGTGTTTCGTATTTTTGAAAATTCCGCCATTTTACCTATGTTGTTGCTATGGTTTCCTGGCAAGCGCTTGGGGCATGCGCAGACGTTATTCAGCCCTGTCGTTCACAGCGGTCAAACGTTTGACCGCTGTGGAGTGGGCACCGAGTGTTAATAGCGCGAAGAAGCTTGGATTTTTTTTAGTAAATCATGAAAAAAGTTCCTAAACTCAAACATTGAAGAAAAACTAACAAGTAAAACCCAGGTTATCTTTGACCGCCGTCGCCTATTATGTTTGTCCGCGATCTTTGACCGCCGTCGCTTATTTTTTATGTTTGACCGCGATCAAGGTAGGGGGTGGGGAGGGGTTTGAATAATTATTTTTCCCCCTCCCCCTCAGCCCTCCCTCGCCTTTCTGTCTGACTCCCTCTCCCTTCGCCGTTCTTTTGCACTCGCCTTAAGCCTCCAATGTTTTCCGAATCCAAGATGGCGGCTTATAAACACTCGATGGAATATTCAGCGCTCGCTCGCCCAAAAAAACGCCTGTTTTGCAGGCTATTCTCAGCCGTAAGGATCAGTTTGCCGTTCAATGTTTATTTTATAAAATGACAGCCTCGCTAAAAATTCTCATAATTATGCGAATGTCTTTCGCTCGAAAATCAACCAATCAAAAATAAATCACTGCCCGGTGTTCGGGTAATGATGTCACCGGACGAAATCGCGCGGAATGTATCGCTGAGTTGGCTAAAATCAGGAGATATTCGGATAATTGTTTTATTATTCAACAAATTGATAACACAAGTAAAAAAAACTTTTCCACTTTTATTTCAAGAACTGACTTGAATATTTTACCGCGCGCCATTTTTTACATATAAAAGGTAAAGGTAAAGTCTTCACGTGCCTAATGGCCCACAACTTGCGGAGCTTATCCCGGTTTCCTTAGCATGAAGCGACTAGGAGTATTGCTACTCCCCTGGATGGGATGCTAGTTTTGTCGCCGGTACCCATTTATACTCCCAGGTGGAGAGAGGCACTGTGAGAGTAAAGTATCTTGTCCAAGAATACAACACAGTCACCCCGGCCAGAGCTCGAACCTAGCTTGCGTGGCAGGCGTATAAAGGGGAGGGAGGAGGGGAGCGCGAAGCGCGAGGAGAGAGCGCGAAGCGCGATCGGCGGGAGGGATTACTCCGACTCCTCGCGCTCCCTCCCCTTTCTACGCCTGCCACGCAGGCTAGGCTCGAACCCGGACCGCTCGTTCCGGAGTCCAGCGCGCTAACCATTAGGCCACCGCGTCTCCCACATATATATAAACAATAGCCTCCATTTGGCGAGGAAATATGCACGGATATTTGTCCGCGGACATTATCTGTTCCGAGAAGCGAACAGTTTTCCGAGAGCGAAGCTCGAGGAAAACTGTGAGCTTCGAGGAACAGATAATGTCCAAGGACAAATGTCCAAGGACAAATATCCGAGCATATTTTTGAAGCCAAATGGAGGCTATCGTAGTTATTATCCTTCAAATATTTTTTCACAATGCCGCTCTGACTATTTGCCGTGGAAGATCTCGGCCAAGCTGTTAAACATAAAAATAATTTTGTTGGCGTTCAAAAATATTGCTAGTCTGTTCAAAACAATCAGTTCTATTAAACTTAGCAATTTATTTGATACGAAAACTGAACTTAACGAACGTAAAAACGTAAACTTTGAAAACTGGGGAATATCACTTGGGGAATATCACCTGATATTCCCTAGTTTTGGCTGCGTCACGTGACGTGTTTAGACCAATGGCGCGCGAGAAAAATATTTGATGGATTATAACGCAGGATATCTGTCGTGTACGGCCGACAGATATTGAGAGCATCATGACCATATTTGGACACACGTGTTACATTTTGTTGAATAATAATAACGGATATCAGATTCAGGATTAAACGAGCAGAGGTTCAGGCTAGGTCAGTTTACCTACCCTGTCTCTATGACCGAGGTTCTCGTAAAACCGCTGTACTAGCTTAGCCATAGGCTACTAATCAGATTTAAAAAAATACAGGGGAACCTCTACTTTGGTGGGACACCGCCATTATTATAATGGGGACACCTCCTTTAAGGGACACAAACTTTTGTCCCGGCAAAATTAACGCTCATATTATCTATTACCTCTATTAAAGGGACACCTCTACGGGGACACGTCTCCTTGACCCGAGGGTGCCCCCCCCCCCCCCTTAATTAATGGAGGTTCCACTGTAGTATTAGACTGTTCACAGTCCCTCTATTTTTTGCGCTGAAATCGTCGCGCTGTCACGATCGATCGTGGAACCGCCATCTTGGATTATTTGGCGAGCGAAATCTGGGGAGAGGACAAAACTCCCCTGGGTACGGGGGGCGGGGCGCGGGGAGACACGAAAAAATAGAGCCTCCCCGCGCCCCGCCCCCCGTACCCAGGGGAGTTTTGTCCTCTCCCCAGATTTCGCTCGCCAAATATTCCAAGATGGCGGCTCCACGATCGATCGTGACAGCGCGACGATTTCAGCGCAAAAAATAGAGGGACTGTGAACAGTCTACTGTAGTATCAAATTTACTCAATAACACAACAATACACGGGTAGTAACGAAACGTCTTGGAACAGGTGTGGTTGAAATCACTTTCAATTTGAAGTGGAAAAGCTGGATCAATAGGTTAATTCCAATAGATTAATAGATTAATTCCCTTTTAAATAGTGAAAACGTTTTTTAATTTAATTTTTCCTTAGTTAAAATAAGTTATGATAATGGCAACCTCAAGCACATCAACATCTGGAACAGTCGGACAACTCTCTAAACCAGAGTACAGAAACTGGCTTGCTCTTGGTCATGCCTTAACAACCGTGCTTTGTCAAGGTCTTCGACCATTTATTAACCGAGAGGTGGAGACTTTCTATAGGAATGTATCAGCAAGAATTGGTGGACCCTGCACCTGTGTTCATGTCCCGAGAAGGAGACCAAACGAGTACCACGACATGAGCACCTGCGCATGGGCAACCTGCGCATGGGCAAACATCCTTCAGGCTTATCACCATAGAAACAAGCCAAACTGGAAACAAAGTGATTCCACCAAATGGATAGATCCAATCCTGGGTCCCTGGGAAATAGCTAAACTCTTCCTTCCTGATTTGGGGGCGGGACATGCTGGTATAAAGAGTGCAGACGACATGGATATCACTGGTATCTTGAATCTCATGTACTGGTGCAATCATTTTACCATTCCACAGCCCTTGATCAATGAAGTCCGTGAAACGCGAAACAATAAGTGGGTGCATGTGCCAAAGCTCGAGTTATCCAATATTGACAAGACAGATGCTTTTGACGCCATTGAAAACTTGCTAAAGGATCCTCAACTAGCTCCAGATGCAGACGCACAGAAAGCGCTCAGAGAAATTGTGAATCTTAAAACCGTTTCTGACTGGCATAGTCTCGAGGCTCAAGTCTTAGCAGACGTCAAGGAAATGTTAAAAAGGGAGACACAGCAATCCGAAAGAACCCAAAAGGAGGTAGGACAGCTAGTGTTACTTGTAGAGAAGAGATTGGAGGTGCTGGAGCAAAGGAACGGGCTTTTATCACTCGTTGGCGTGGCGTTGCAAAGCTTGCACGGAAACCTCGTTAGAAGTGTTAAAGGTATCAGGAAAGGAACGTTAGTCTCGTTGGTGATGATGTTCCTTTTTTGCAGCTTCTGTGTCATACTGGAGGAGGACACGTTTATTAGAGATGGTAAGTTTAAACATTGGCTACTCTGGATAAGTTCCTTGTGTTTTAGTTTATTTATTTATCTATTTATTTATTTATTTATTTATTTATTTATTTGTTCATTTGCATGTTTAGTAGAAATACAAAAATTAACGCTGTTCGACGTTTTCGATGTTGCTAACATCATTATCAAATAAAGAGTTATACAGTAAATAACTTAGCGCGGATTGAGTCAGATTGCACGTTCAAAGTTGCGGTTTGAGTTCTTTGATTTTTATGAATAGTAAGTGAGATGGATTTGTGGGCTTGACGTGAAGGAAGTATAGTGATAATTTGATTACAAACATACTGCGAACATGCACTTTCACCAATAAATCTTACAAAGCGATCTCTACTGTTCACTGTGTGCGAATTATTGGACGGTCAATGCATTGTCGGTGGGGGGGTCAGCGATCTTCACTTTGCTAATTAATTCAATTTTTTTTATTATCAGAATCGTTAGTATTATATAAAAATTTCTAACTAGTCTTAAATAGTATTACTTGTAACTTTCAACATAAATTATAGGGTTTCCTTTTTATATTAGTAACATTAGTATTATGTGTAAATTTTTAACTAGAACGTCTTACAAAATGTAAATAGTATTACTTAATTAATTTTTAATTAGTTCTAAAATAGTGTCGGTTTGTTTTAGGATGTTCCATCCAGATGAATAGCTATCCAAGGGAGCTGAAATATTTTGACTTCAGTGATTTCATCAAATCATCGAGAGCAGAATTCATTGGCCGTCAATGGCTATACCAGGAAATGGAAAGTATCTTAAATCACACTAGCAAGCGTGGGGTGTTAATAACTGGAAATCCAGGCTCGGGAAAGTCCGCTTTTCTGAGCAATTTGCTTTGTTCAAACACATCCAGCCCAATTATCCATAACAGAATCCTGGGGTATCATTTCTGTATGCATTTCAACAAAAGAACAAAAAGCGGTGCCGATTTTGTTCAAAGTCTTGCAAATATGATTGCTTGGAGAATCATGATTGAATACCGTCAAGATGTTTGGACTGATTCCTATGTCAGTAGAGTATTGTACAAGTATTGTCCTCAAGATCCAGAATGGTGTTTCGAGCAGGGAATCCTTATACCTTTGAAAAAACTCCAGAACCAGCCCACAGAACCATGGTACATTGTCATAGATGCCATAGATGAATGTGCGGATGCTAAAGCAGAGATTCCCAAGATACTTCAAACCAATATTCGTAGATTTCCAAAGTGGCTGAGATTAATCGTCAGTTCACGTAATGTAAGCACCATCGTTACAAGCCTAAATGAGTTACAGCGAGTAGATCTGCGATCGGACGATAAGAGAAATCTTGATGACATTGACGCATATATATTCCAAAAGGTGTTTCCATTGAAGGAGTCCATCGTACAAAGGATTAAGATGGCTCTTGCAATCACGGACAATGACGCATCAACTCAGAAAATTGTTTCGCACCTAGCCACGAAAGGTCAGGGGAACTTTCAGTTTGTTAAAGTTGTGCTTGATTTGTGGCTCGCATCAGCAGCAAGTGTTAAGTGGGATACTTTTCCCAAGACACTTGACAGCTCTTATCAATTGTACTTTGAGCGAAAGTATGGCACACCCGAATCTTTTCAATCTCTGCGACAAATTTTCGAAGTCTTAGTTGCAGCGTATACACCCCTTACGGTCCATGAAATGCACTCACTGCTCAGGATTGACCACCCAACTCTTGATCTAGAATACGATTTTTTGCCAAAACTTGACCAGGTCTCTCTGTTTTTGTGGCATGGATCGGGGGACGGCCTCATTCGAATTTATCATGCTTCTTTGTCTGAATGGCTCACCAGTGAAACCAACAAAGGAAAATTCTATTACATCAAAAAACAAAATGGCCATAACCGTCTTGCAAATTACTATCTTAATAAAGCTATTACCAACAATTCACTACTGAAACCGGATGAAGCTTTTCACCTGGCGAGTCATATTGTTGAAGGTGGTCTGGTTGAATTTATGGTGCAACAGTTTCTGTCACTTCCTTCGGACCACATCAACACCACTGACCCGGTGACTCATACAACTGCACTTCACCGTAGTTCAAGTTCGTTTAATGCAGATGTGACTAAGCTTTTGATACACCACTTCTCTGACGTCGACTGCTTAGATAACGACCAGCGTACACCATCATTTATTGCGGCAACTTCAGGACATTTAAATAACTTGGAAATTCTTCTTGAAAAAGGAGCTAACCTAAACCACAGCATTAAGTATGCAGATGTTGAAATTGCTTCTTATTCCCAAGATCCAATCAATGAATGTAAAAGGAAGTTATGTGAATATTCATTACTGCACACAGCCGCTCAAGAAGGTAACGTAGATGTTGTACATTTTCTTATTCGACACGACGTGAATATCTTGAGTATAACTGGAGTTAACAACACTGCCGTACAGTTAGCAGCAGCAAACGGTCACCTTGAGACCGTCCAGACGCTCAAGAGAGCTGGTGGAGTTCTGGAGGGCATCTCGCTACATCACGCCGCTGCTGGGGGCCACAGCCATG